ATAAAAAGAAAATGTCACAAGTCTAAAGTCAATTCACATTTCAAACTAGAATCAAATATTTTAATACATGAAAATCCTTAAAAGCATTATAAACACCTTAAATATTGATTATTCTTAGACTATTCCTAAATCCATGAAAATACATTAATATTATGGGTTTGATATACTTTACCTCTACATTCAATTCTAACCACTAAAGAAACCTTCTCCATCAGAAATAAGTTAGGGTTATCTTCTAGGGAAGCCGGAACATACCCAACTGAGCAAGCTGAGCCCTTTGTCATAATCGCGACGACAGCAGAAGTGTCCAAACACAGGCCCTTGAGGGGGACTGTACAGCCGAGGTCCAGGTAACACCTTTTCCTAATCCTTCTGCCTGTTTGCAGGCAGCTAAATTCTCCCTCATCTTGGTTGAATTTTGTTTGCATTTAGCCCTCCTAAGACATGTTAATGCCTTCCCACATTGCTGAAAAAAAAAACACCGGAGGTCATTCCATTGGGTATTTTATTCTCATGTGTAGTTTTCTGTGACCCTCCCCCGACCCCCACCTTGAGCTTCACCACCTGACTAAATGCTGTTTCCCTCTCACCAACTTTTCCAGTCTGTTGGGAGAACAATGCTCCCACATGGATTCGGCATAGCTCTTGTGGCTTTTTCTGGTTCTGTAATCAAAGTCACGGCCCCAAGGAAACCAAAGGTAGCACTGACAGAGAATTCTGGTGAGGAGCAAGGCCTCCCATAGAAGTCAACAAGTGACAGCCGGACTCTGAACAACGACAAACACAAGAGCTAGTACAGAAATGAAAAGCAGAAATTGGAACACAGGTGAGTGCTCTGGACCAAGGATCCAGAGGGAAAAAGATGAGAAACAGCACGTTCTCCTAACCGTTTTCTCAAGTGGTATCTTCAATGAGGAGGCAAGACCCACAGTGCATATTTGATGTTTCATTGTCCAGAAGTACTTTCGGCAAATCATTAAATTTTCTTTACAAAATGTAGGTTTATTTATTTACAACTAATCCTTTTTCTTAACTTAAAAACGTTAGGAAATCTCTCTTCATAAAACAGAACACTTGTGCCAGGAGCAGTGTCTACATTACAACCACGCTCAGAACAGACACAGCCAGAAGCGAGAGTCTCAGCCCTTAACCTTCTCAGGGACATTAACCTCATGCCAGTCGCTTGTGATGCAAGACCATCAAGAGGGCAGGTCATCTGAGTTACAGGAATTAAGAAGGAAATGGTGTAATCTTACCCAAGCCTACGAATCCAGTGATGAAATGATCACATATATCACAAACTTTTATTCAGTTTAAACACCCAGGAAAATAACACTTTTTCCAGATATAGACTTAGATCATTTTTCCTTGGCAGAGCTAAACCACAACTATCAAAGTACTAAGGCCCGATTAAAACAAATGGATTTAAATTTCATCCTCATAATGCTTCAATAAATAATTTTTTCCCTAAAGTTTGACAACACAAGACTTGGGGAAGAATAGTGGATATGTGCAAGTTCCTAGAAGGTAACAATGTTGTCTTTGTACTTCTATTTATATAATGGCCCCTACAGATTAATTCCAATGGCCCTACTATAATTGAAGTTTTAATAATTAAAGTGAATGGCACTTGGCTCGACTCCTAACTGAATCAAACCTGCAAGCTAACAGCCTCACAGAAAAAGAGACAGGCTCACCCAGCCATACTCATGTTCTTCTGTTTTCAATATCTAGTATTCATTCAAAAGTATAACACATACCAAAACTGGGAGCCAACTGTCAAGAGACAAAGAAATCAACAGAACCAGACTCTGAAATGACCCAGATATTGATTGGCACAGTTGGCCAGGGAAATAAAAACTATAATATTTAAATATTCTACTGTAATTTCAGCAGAGATAAATCATTGAAGAGAAAAAATTATCTAGGCATAAAATAAATAGGGGAAATCAAAGTTCTTTACTTGAAAGAGAAAACAAGACAAAAAGCAAAACCAAATCTAAGAAAACCACTTATTGTAAATACAAAATTGAATGCCAGAGCAATAAATAAGCAAAACATTAGATCCAGAAGACAAAGATTTGAAAGATACAAATGTGCCATTTCAAAATGAAAAAAAACTCAAATAGCTAATAGCATATGGAATTGTGTACAATAGTGTTCAAAGAAAGGCAAATTAAAACAATGAAGTAATGTTTCTTGATAATGAACTTAACAAAGATAATGAAAGTGTTAATAATCTAACCTGGTAAGGAAACAACAGAATACTTTGAGAAGTATTTCTCTGTATCTATCGAAACCCTTTCCATGTTTTTGCTACTTTACTCAGTAGTACTACTTTTAATGACCTAGTTTGAGAAGATAAATCCAGGTACAGAAAACACTGTATGCTCCAAGCTGTAATCAAAACATTACTTATAAAACCAAAACATCAAAAACAATCGAAATGTCCACTATAAATATCTGAAATGAAAATAAGAAGTTTTCAGACTCCTGTTTATTTCCTTTCTCCTATCCTTCCCCACGGCCAGATGCCGGCCAGCCTGAGGAGGGCGGGCAGCCACCCCAGTGCACTTACCCCTGGATTTACCCGTGCTGTCTCTGCGTCCTAGGACAGTGTCGCGGCCTGCCGTGTCCACTGGGCCGGAGGCACAGACGGGCCTCCACCTGCAGTTCTCCCACGTTTGCACTCTGTGTTCCAGGTGACATCCAGGAGATGGTCTAAATGCAGCCCGGGAAGCTGGAGAGGCCCGAGCACAGCGTTGCATCACAGCACAGAAACAGACAGCGACAAATAAAGCCTAAAGACCCACTACCAATAACAAAGAGCTTTGACGAAATTATCTGACATTAATGCTCTCATTTCATTGATTATTTTATATGTGACACAAGATAAAACTGATGATTGTCATGTTAACGTAAGATAAATTAGACAACACAGGGAACAGCTTGATTTGTAACTGTTCTATACTCCTAAGGCTTCTGTCTATTTTGACCCTCCGGTGGAGCGGCTGTCCTCCAGGGCTAACCTATGATTTTCCTGAACTTGTCTCAGGACAGCCGCACAGTCCCCCTGTCCAGCCCACACTTTCAAACCCTCGAACCCCTGGGTTTACAGCGCAGACCCCCCCCCTCCTTCCGCACAGCAGGTTCGAGACACCTCTATCTCTCATGTTAGAAACCAGAGTTTGGGGCCGGCCGAGTGGCTCAGTTGGTTAAGAGCTCGCTCAAGAGTTTGAGCTCTGAGCAACAGCGGCCGCTGAGCTGCCAATAGGTAGCAGGATGGCTCAGCTAAAAAAAAAAAAAAGAAACCAGAGTTTGGCTTGGCTACCATCTCAGCCAGGAAAATTAACTATGAAGCTTCTTGAATTTGCGTCCCCGCCCTACACGGTTAAGAGTCTGAGTGGTATGTGTCATGACAAGTATGCGGTGCCCTCTGCGTGCCCCGTCGGCCCAAGCTGACAACACGCACTCCTAAGCCACGCGCAGCCGGCCCCGTGTGCACAGCTGCGTCTCCTGACAGCACACGCCAGCGTGCTGTGACTGTCTCCCGGTGCCGGGCCACTCTGAGTCCGCGCTCCCTCGTGAGCTTTGGGACCCCTGGTCATCCCCAGAGCTGTGGCATAGTGGTCTCGTATGATGTGAGCCCATGTTTTGCAACAGGGATGAAGCTGCGTCCCTCGGGAGGGCTGCTGGATCAAAGCGGAGCTGTGTGACGACTGGCCACCCACCTCCGGGCTGTTGATGAGCACTCAGCAGCGTGGTGAGGGCGGCCGGCACTGAGGACGTCTCCACAGGCCCTGTGGAGAAGCCACTATGGCTAGGGGCACTGAGGACCATCCGAGAGTGTGGCCTGCGCAGGGCGGCCGATGCCACCGGCTCTGGACCTCCGGCACTGGCTCCTGCTGGGAGGGTGCCTCTTTATCCACGGGCAGCAGTGAAGACCGGCCGGCCCATGACGGTGACCCCCTGACCCATCCACACCGGTGTTGTCACCCCCTACAATGTGCTCCAGCCACAGGACGCTCCTTGGGTGCTGGCGGCAGGACACCACCTTGGATGGCTCCCAAGACCGGGCGACAGAATGGGGCACCTCGGACTAACTGTGGGCTCACTACCCTCCAACCCCTCGTGTGGCAAACGACGGCAAATGTATTCACACTATACCCGACGTGGTTTCCTGGCTTCTTAAGACACACTGACTCATGACCTTGTAATTCCTGGTGGGGAACCTGGGGACATCAGTTATTGGCAGACGACCTCAGGCTGAGCGTCGTTCGTCCGAGCTAAACGGCCCCCGTTCGGCACAGGTGTTGCTGGAATAGTTTCACCAGCACAAGTACAATCTTCTTCCAGAAGACGCACGAGCCTCGTGTTGATAACAGAGTGATAACGAGATGAAACACACTGCTTGTTAACTGCACCCAGGAATATGCTGACGGCTCAAGACTTTACTTTCTGCAAGGGGGCATCGCTCACAACTGAAATTTATCTTAAAGCTAACTAGTCGTGAACTTCGCCTCCGGCCTTTCCGAAGGTCCCTGGAAGAAAAGGCAGCGACGGCCTCGTGCGCACCGGGCCAGCCGTCGGGTCGGGCTCCTCAGGCAGGTGTGGGGGCTCCGTGGCACCTTCCCCGCTGGGAAATGGAGACAAACGCCCACGGTGGCGGGTTTCATGGCCCTGCCGTAGATGAGGTCACAAGTGAGACAGCACGTGGGCCTCCTCACGGCCAGCACAGCCCTGGGCAGCGACCCCACGCAACCAGCCGCACGCAAGGGCCAGGGCGGACGCACAAGCAGGGAGAGGCGGCTCCCACGATGGGAGCTTCTCTTTACGAGCACACACTCAACTCATGGAGCTCAAGGGGGCAAGAAAAAGAATATGAAATTGGGGGAGGGGTGGGGTGGGGAGGCAGTCGTTTTAGCTAAAGAATTAAATCCACTAGATTTGGCAGAATTAGAGCCGTCGTGCCTATCCTGCCTCTCATAGGGTAACATTCAGCCGTGGCAGTAAACCTAGCCTGTCACCTGTTTCGTCCCCTCCGTGGAGAAAAGAGCATTTCCAAGGTGCCTACGATACGCCCAGCCCTCTGCACACCTTTTATCTCCTGCCTGCGCCGAGGAAAGCGTCTCCATTCCAGGCCACAGGCTCCCCCCGCCACCCTGTGGAATGGGACCCCGTCTGTCGAGAGACGGACCGGAGCCTGTGGCTCTAATCACCCGTTTTCCCAGGGAACACGAAGCCATCCCCGACGCCTAAACACACACTGTGATGTTAACGTCCCTGGGCTGGAAATCAGAGGGGCTTTTTCTATAAGTAAAAAGTCCAAATTATTGTTTCAATGTATCATTCCATAAATATTTTAACACAGAAGCTGGAGTTGGGTATTTTATTGTATGGACACAATTTTAAACAACATTAGGTGTACGGTGTTCTGGTGTTCCATGAGCTAATAAAACAGAAGAAAACACACTACTTGAAATAGGAAGCATGAGGATTCTAAGGTTTACTCCAATATCAGAAATGTTAGTGAAGGGATCACATGTAAAATAAATAAGGCACTAAACAACAAAGACTTTTAAACATATCGGGGGTGGATTATTGAGAAGTACGCTATTTCACAGAGATCTTTCTGATAACCATGACCAGACAAAATGCAAAACTTTCGGACAATAAGCACTGGATTATTTTATCATCATTCCTAAAATCCAGTAACAATTTTACACACATGAAGCGTGGCCGACTGTACTAATGTTTGAAAATATTCACTTAAGTTCTGACTTCTCAAACTGTCCATCCATTTTTTACCAGCACCTCATCAACAATCAATGTCCATGAGATGAACAGCTGCTGTTTCCTCCCTTGCTTTTCCATAACTACATTTAGGTGTTTGCTTCTTTTAGTTGTTAAAATAACATCCATGGCAACAGAGACCTACATAACATTTCCTAATTGAAAACTGGCAAGGATTCAAAAAAGTTCTCAGTTCAATTATGCTAAGACATGTTGACGCCAGTATTCAATTTTCAAAAACTTACATCAATATTTCACTTAAAAAAATCGTACACCCAGATCGCCACGGCACACCTCACCGGTCTTTGGCTTTGCTCTTCTCTTCTGACCCTCATCCCCGGCCCCCTCAGCCTCGGTGGCAGTGTATTATTCAAAGGATTAAAAAAGGGATGACCTAAATCAGCAGTAGACTGAAAAGCTAAATGAGGGTCGATGGACTGCGGTGCGATGAAGCCTTCAAGTAACACCGACGGGAGCTCTGTGGTTGGTGACGTGACAAGCTTCATCCATTTTTCAACATTCAACACAAAAGGAAGGCAAACTGTGTCCCAGGCCCTGTAACATGCCCTGGACACACAGTCCATTCTTAGTGAAGCGGAGCCGGTTAACAAACAGCGTCCACAGTATGGCCCCACTCGTTTGCACGCTCACGGCGGGTGACAGCACATAATCACACAGCTGCGTAATTCTCCGAATTGAAGCTTCACACGTAAAGGGACAAAAACGAAATCTATATTCCCAAATACTCAAGTTATTTAATACTTAATATTTTTACATCTTCTATATAAAAAAACTTCCTCTGCATTTTAATACAGGTGTGTTCACTTTTCTGTATGATTGATTTGCAACTGGTGCTATTTTCTCTTAATTTTTTTCTCCGAAAAAAAGTAAATTTCTTTAAATTTGTGGTCTTTCCTCTCCAGCCAAATTATTTTCATGAGAGTTTTCCAAACCCTTTCCTTACTCGCTCTGTACTTGCTGTCTTGCTTTTTCCTTCAATCTTAGCTATGCTCATGTTAGTGCTACATGTCACCATATTGGTCCCTGGATTTTTCCATGGTTTTCTATATTTCACTTAGAGCAAATGCGCATCAGCCCTGAATGTCAAATACGTTCACTGTAAACGACGCTCGATATTACTTTCTCCCCCAAATGGCCTGCTTCCTAGGTTTGTCTCCCTGCACTCAATGAAAACTGGCCTGTAATGTTAAATACCACAAAATGTCACCAAAATAAAGTCTGACAGAAACAAAAGACCTGCTGTGGGACTTGTGAGGGGCAGGGGCACCCCCACTCACACAGAAGGACTGTACCTGGGGGGCTGACGGGCTGAAGGCCACTCCAGTGACCGTGTCCGTGTGTCCTGACAGCCTGTGACAAAAAGTGCTTGAGCCCATTTCATACACATACGCCTAGAAGACAAAACAAACAGAATTCCCTGTTGAAAAAGTCAATAATCAATGATATATTATGCAAAGCTGAAGTGTATCCAACGGCTAATCCAGTGTCACAGCAGCAATTCCCACAATGGACAAAACACCACCTAAGTCACAGACCTAAACTTATGAAATATATATTTCTTCTCTTTCGCTGTTTAGAATTTTTATATTAATGAATTTATATCATCCTCTCTAGCGCATCATAAGACTCCAGGGGCCGGCCGAGTGGCGCGATGGTTAAGAACTCGCTTGGGATGCCAGAGGGCCCTGGTTCGGATCCCACGTATGAGGGCCAGTAACACTGCCCTCTACAGCTAAGATGCTGAACAACAGCTCAACCTGGAGCTGGGCTGCCTATGAGTCGCCGGCGACGGCGTGGGCTGCAGTCCCTGTGGCAGTGGATTGCCATGGGCTACCGTGTGTGGCCAGCAGCCAGCGTGAGCGGCCAGCAGCCGCAGTGAGCGGCTGTCCAGAAGCCGGCGACTGATCTGCCTCACCCAGGAAGAGCGCAATGATGGTGCCAACTTGGGCCAGTGAAGCAACATCCTCCACAACTAGATTGAAGAACAAAATGACAGCAACTTGTCTGTTCCCCTTTCCCCAATTCCCCAGCACTGTTCCCATCCCCCCAATTCCCCAATAAAAATCTTTAAAAAAAAATAATAAGACTCCACTCTACTGTGAACAGTTTTAAACATATGCTCCTATTTGAGGACTAACTTTAAGGAAGGAGTACAGAGTTCGTATTCCAGCCTGTCAGCCAATGGTCGTTGGCGCCAATTTAACGCCAACAGGAGTCCCCAGTTTGGGGGGCGGTGAAGAGGGAAACTAGTCAGTGCCAAAAGCTCAGCTGTGACACAGCACGCCCGGCACGCGGCCCCAGTGTCGCAGCCCGACCCCCCTCTGGTGAGACCACTCCGCTACCCAGCAGCCGACCCCCCTCTGGTGAGACCACTCCGCTACCCAGCAGCCGACCCCCCTCTGGTGAGACCACTCCGCTACCCTCAGCTGTGGCGGTGCAGCTCTAGCAGCGGAAACAGTCTTCAGCGGAAAGCGCACTGCCCAGGCTAGGGGGGAGCTCTTATATAGAGAGAGGTCCAGCCCCTGGTCCCTGATTGGTGGTCCTCATGCAAATGAGGACTCCAAATCCTACAGTTTGATTGGTTCAAAAGGCACTGTCCTGATTGGTCAGAAGGAGTTGTCCTGATTGGTCAGTGAAGATGCTGATGGGGATACAGCTGCACAGTTCTGATTGGATGGGGAAAGCTCAGTCCTAGTGGTTGAAATACAATTCTAGGAGGTCCTATATAAGGGGCTGCTCAGACCACAGGAACACAGTACAGACGGGCAATTCAGGGCAACAGGGCGCAGGCAGCTCAGTGCAGATTTCTCCCTGGGCTTCAGCCAGTTCAGCAATGACTGCTACGCTGGTTTTTTTATTTTAATTTTTGAGCTCAGTCACTGGGACCCCTTCTTGGTAGGTATTTTCTTTCATGGGGTTGAAAAACCTCACTCGCCTAGTAGTCACAAATTGAATGTAAAAGTTATCTTTTATTGTCTTTTCCATAGACCTGAGGGAGACTTGTCTATTCTTTGTTTCCTGGTAATCAGCTTAAAATTTGAGCAATTCAAATGTTTAGAATTTTTCTATAGCTGTTGATAAAATTAAAAATAAAGATATACATTTGCCTCTTATGATATTACTATATAAAAAGATATACACATGGATAGACATGATCTATGTATCTATATTTATATCTATAGCTATATAGATATGTATTATATATCTAGAGTTGCCATCAAATATTTCATTTTAGGGACAGCATATCGCTGTCTATAGAACACACAAATGTCATGTCAATCACAACTGATTGGTTGAGGTACGTTCATTTGAAATTACTAACATCCCCATATTTTTACTAAGGAAGCCGTGACGGTTAGAGAGCAAGTTGCTGATACAGCCGTCCAGTGTCGGCACAGAGACTCTAACCTGCTTTCTCTGACTAAGCTTTTCCTTTCTGTTTCTCTAGGCTGCCCGTGACAGTGCCCATTCACAAAGGACTCAGGCGTCTTCACATTCCCTCGAATCTCACAGGGGCTTCAAAACGACCTTTCCCATCACCATTTTATCTTCAGGGTCAAGTAAAGGAGGGATCTTCTAATTAATTCTGAAGATTTTTCAGGATCGAAGGCTCTCCTGTGGTCTGCTATTTAGATTACGCAGATGAGGGAAACTATAAAGCCATGAGAGCAAAGGATTTGAAGACATAAGGAGTGTGTTGGGGGTCGGGGGAGAACAGAGGCCAGGAAGTTAGGCACCCAGGTGGGCTCTGTAGCTCCCACATAACATGCGACAGAAATCCAATCACAAAGTAAGATAAGTGCAAGCAGATGGCTTAAGCTAATATCTTTAGGCTCCGGGGAACTTGCTTAGAGGCTGGTGGAAATGGACTAAGAATGAAGGAGCAGAAAGAACGTTTTCTTCGATAACTGGGTCCCGGACCAGTGGGGACAGGATGAGCACAAGGCACTGGAGAAGAGGCTGCTGCCTCCGCCCCTGAAAGAGCAGGACATGGGGAGTAAGTGCAGACACACCAGGAGGCACTCCGAAGCTTAGAAGGCGGTGTTTGAAGTTTCCCTCTCAAATCACATCTGTTACCCAAGTGTCTCTTGTTGAAAAGTCCTTCCCGAGACTGGTTATGTTTTTACCTAATTCTAAATCAGAATTAACACTGGCTTGTATTTGCATGAAACCTCAAAATGCACATAAGATGGCCCACAATAGTGTGAAGAAGTCCAAGAGTTATTTAAGAAACAGGCTTTTATTTTCTACATGAAAATGGTATTAAATGAAACACATCTTTTTGCACAGAAGTTTCTTGAGTCAAATGACACTTTCTGGTCATCAGAAAGTTGAGACTTGAAAACAGCAGTTTGAGGCCCCAAATGTCAGAAATATTTTATTAGATACTCGCTTATCATGAACCACACTCCCACACAGTGGCAACGACCGTCCAAAAGGACGAGGTTTACCTTGCAGAATATGGTGGAAAAACAAGGAATAACTTTCAAATGATCCAATGCCATTGCAGTCCACGTGGGGAACAAATGTTTCAACAGTTATTTGATTCAAGAAGCAGCTTCTCCCTATCGAAGAGGAATAAGCTGCAGCTAAAATGTACTAAGACACAAATGAGAATGGAAATAGAACTTATGAGGTAAACCTTACTCCGGAACTAACGTACTAGGCCCTGAGGAAAGGGGCAAGGAAAAAGGAAGCCATATTTTTTTAGGCAAAAGATGAGACTATGGCACAAAGCGCTCAGGCTGCAATAACACTTTGCTGTTGGAAAATATTTTCACAGAAATTGTAAGGGACTGAACATACTGCTGAGAAAGGTGAATGTTTTGCTGACAGAACTCGACCAGTTCATTATGGTATTTTGTGATTCTGTGGGAGGGTGTCCGCGAACACGCAGTTTCTTTCCTCCTTTTGTCTCGCAGAGTTCACGTGCCCTTGATTTCCCTGGACCCAAATTATTCCCACAGAGGAACCGGGAAAAACAACTGCAAACAGAAGCTAGTTCTGCATTTCTGAAACTTCATAATTGTAGCGCTGTCATTCACAGGGGAGTCAACTGTCATATTATTTACTTTGCTTTTTAAAAATATTTCCAAAAATGACATTTCTCAGAACTGTGCACATTTCTTCAGGTCACTGGATTTTTAGTCCATGAAAAAAATAACAAACTTTTCTCAGAAGACCAAAACGTTCAAGATGTACGTAATTCAGAGCCCTATTTAAAAACACAATAGCACAGAAGCGTCGCCGGCTTCCAGGAAGAGGCGAAGACTGGGTTAGAAAACCTTGATTTGGGCACACGACACTTGGCCCCCGGCAAGCGAGCCACTGGCTCTTGATGGCTCTGCTCTGGGTTCTCCCGTCAGGCTTTGAGGCAGACACACAGTGGCTCTCCCCTCGGCAACAGGAGCTGTGCCAACCGCAGTGAGAAGCTTCCCCCCGACACACACACACACACACACACACACACACACACACACACACACACACACTGCCTCTTGCAAAGACACAGCGCAGTGGTCGCTGGTGTGGCGCTGACACCAGTCGGCCATCACACAGCGTCACACACCTGGGGCGGCAGCAGCTTTAACGGTCCTGAAATAAATCTTCATCAACTTCCTTTCTAATGACAACCTGGTCTTTTTCAGCATCTTCAGACCTGCCATCAATTATATAACTAGTCCTCTTTAAGGATCCATTAGTTCATTCATGCTGATTTCTTTCCAAATCTGAGCCTACAGAACGCCAGGGCAGAGGGAGCCAGCAGAGAAGTGGCTGACGTCGGCCCACACGCCGGCACATCACAGCATGGCTGCTTTCTATGTGCTAATGTCATGCAGCATTTAGTAAGTGCAACCCCAGACATACTTCCCGTAACCCCACCACAGACATCACTGCTGGCTGCTGCAGAAGAAATCCCCACCGGCAGAAGGGAAGTGAGTCCCAGACCCACGGCAGAGCAGGATGTGAACCCAGCTTCTCTAGCCCCTGTCCCTTGTGACTTGGCAGCTGTCTTCAAGGGGACAGGCCAACCAACAGAGAACTCACGCAAAGTAAACTCAAAACCATCTGTGTCCAGCTACGTTTCCAATGCCTGTGCTTGGCTTCTTATCTGGAAATTTGTCAAATAGACACAATGGTGGAGCATTACATAGCGAGCCCCGTGCATACGTAACCCAATTATATTGGGTTGTCGGAAAAGTCATGACGCATTTTTGCAATGAAAAACATAAAGAAAATACGTCATGACTTTTCCAACAACCCAATAACACAACCAAGACTGTGCTCCATTGCTTCAACTGCCATCCTCTTTTCTTTGTAGTTTTTGTGGTCGAAGTAATATGAAGTTTTCTGAAGCGAACTGCAAAGATGACGCATATTTTGTAAGCAT